AGATCTATGATCTATTTAAACTAGATTTTTCTGACTGCATTTTGTTTAAAATACTTTGGACGTCTAAATTTATTCTTATACGTGATTAGAGAGGTATATATATAACAGATACATACTAAACAACACCAAACAAGTGAAATCCAAAATTATTTTAGAAAATGCCTCAATTTGACAGAATATTTTATTTTATTACATTTAGTAGACGACCTAAGTACGATCGTCGGATAAATGTATTTTATCAGGGTTATCTAACATTAAAATTCAATCATAATTTAACGATGTCGCCGTTCAAGGCGGGTCGTAATTTTTATATGGAAGCCTGAATGATCAGTGGCATTATAAAGTTCCTCGCATACCTATCACGATTACTGGTCGTTCGGACTGAACAATGGGACGTCAACTTTGCTAATTGTACGGTACAGAGTAAAAAAGACTAACTGCACATCAATTACTGTTACGTGAGTTCAAATCATTGTGTTGTAATTACACACACAGGTACCTACAATGTTTCTGTGAAAAGAATACAAGTGCAGTTTATTTACAAAGGAACGGAGGAAAATGAATCCGGAAAATGTATAACGATTTTTTCTTTGATTTTCATTTTTTGTTTAAATCAGAATTTTTAGTTGTTTTTAATTATACGTTGCATTAAATAGATGGGATTTCATAATAATATCTCCCATTTCAATAATTGGACGTGGGACGTACAAAATCAGGACACCGTTGAACAATTTTGAATATATACACAATTTAAATTTTATATGCGGCAATAATAATTTGTACTAATATTTGAAGAAAGTTTATCTAAACCTCAAATATCAACTTCGATATGAATCTCCAAAGTTTGTTTTGAGATACGAAGTTTTTGAAACGAATTTAAAATGTAAGGGTCACGTTTATATAATAATATCAACAGGAATTATTGGAACGTGCATTACTTACTGATTTTATGGCGAACTTACATTTTAATGACTTTTCCGAAGCTTTCACCAATAACAAAGATGTTATGGTATTTGTAACAAGTATATAATTCCATTCAATCCCTGTACACGTGCTAATAATAGCGTGATCAGCAATTATAATCTATTGGAATTTTAAATCAGAAAATGTCAGGTACTTCTATAGCGAAGTTTAAGAATCGGCTACAACAATCAACCCTACACGTCAGAAACGTGCGCAATATTTATATTAATTTCAGATGATCAGTCGGCCATGTCCAGTCGGGTCAGCAGGTAGTCCCAACCCCGCTATGTATGCGGCGAACTTATTATTACATAACATGACATAGCACCACGTACATTCGTGTATCGGTACGTGGTAGCCCTGACATGCTTCGATCAATTCAATCGCAACTATAGAGATCCCTTATGTGGATTCAAATGTTGGCCTAATGTTTCACACAACGTCCAACCACGCATACGAATGGAATTCGGATAAAAAACATATTATCATAACGCCTAATGGAGCGGAGAAAAACGTCTCAATTCATAAACGTCGCACATAATCGGGCAAACTCACTAGATTAATCATTCTAAAGAACTTTCTACAATTTATTATCACTCATGGCACTTAAAAATTGTCTATTTAGTGTTAAAAATGACGAAGTTCCGTCACACAGTGCACATTGCATCACAGCGACCACGGGCGTTGTCTGGAATCCATGCATGTTTAGTGTCTGTCTACTTACTGTTTATTGAGAATTTTATTATCTACAACGAGCACAAGCTGTGCATTCCTTATGGTGTAAACATTCAAGTATTCGAAGACACGATAACATGACTATGTGAGGTCAAGTGAAAAATCAAACTCCCTGAAGGTTATTAACATTCCTTACTTATTAATAAGTACGAGTCGAAGCGAGTATCAAGTCATGTCGCAGGAATCGCGGAACGAATCTTTAATGGACATCACGCTTAAAGCAGCTCTTAAATTGGTTAATGCATACAAGACGTGCATAGCTGATGCAAAGTTCACTATAAGCTTCGTTCCTCTCTGTAATGAACATCTTACTATAATAATCAATATAAACAGTTTTATTGTTCTCCTTCAGTTTATAATACACATTCAGAAATCTCTGAAGTCATAACGATAGTCCTTTTGTTAACACTCATCACGATTATCACAATGAAGTGTCTGCAACCAAAGTGTCATAAAATATCAATTCGCGTTCAATGTCACTCAAACGGGTCAGTAGCGTTTAAATAAACAGAGTATAATATTTTCGAAATATTCCTTTGAGATACACATAAACGTGCTCGAATACAAGATTTAGATTTGTGTGGTAATAATAAAAAGATTGTACAAATATCATTGGCGTCTAGTTAGCAACCTCTATTAGATCATTGTAACAATATGCGAGACGGCCCGAATAGCTGGAATAGCTGCACTCTCGCTTCGCTGCCAACGAAATGGAATCCGTTGCCATTAGAAATTCTACTGTACATGATGACTTCATTGCTATCGGGATTCCTTCAGCGCGTGCCGTGTCCACCCCGCCTCAGGTGTCACTCTAACACGCATTCACATTCACATTTTTCCAGCAACTAGATGCTGGAATTTATTTACTCCAAAGCCTTTCATATTTTTCGCAAGTATCTGTATCATTAGGTACACAGGTAGTAGGATCTAATCAGTGTTATTTATCGTTGCTGTTCTTTGCTAATCGGTTGTGCTATCAGGCAAACAGCAATACTTTAGCACGTCCAAAAATAATATTTGTACTTACAACAATAGTGATCAGTGATTGCATACCGTCCTAAGAATGCTCGTAACTGTAGTCCGCAACGCAACCTACATTCAGCATTCTTTTCGAAACCGTAACACGCCGCCTCTGCGTTCCGGATATATTCGTTCATGCCACATTCACCCCAATATCTTTCGCAATAAAACCTATTTCAATTTGATACATGTGATAGAATGCCAGGTATTGCATTTCTAGAGAGCTGTAAAACTACATACACAAAGTAATGCGATTGATATGATCAATTTATTGATAGCCGTCTCTATATTTCCAAGTGCTAAAATGTTAACTCTTGGATGTGAAGAATTTAATGGGTATGCTACTGATGTAACTATTTATTTGCAAATACTATGGAAAGAACTTATTCTTGATTTTATTAACAAAGATAACGCAATTATTTTCGGAGGTTTATTCATATCTGTATAACTTGTACCAATTCTTTTTATATAAGAGTTAGTTTTGGCGTGGTGCTTTACATAAGCGTAACGTGGGCTCAGCGTGGTCGTAGTTAACGAGGCAGCCCTAAAACATGAGCCGTGCCAATTTGTTGGTCGGTAGAGAGCATGGTCCGACCAAATTCCTGAACGCTTTCTCTGGTGCTGGTGGTGGCCGGGGCGCGCACGCATGCGCCGTGCTCCTCGCCTTCGCACGCAGACCAACGAAAGTGAGCGCCAAGCCGCGGGCGCCCGCGCCGCTGTCATCACGTTGCATAATTATCCGCGATCCGACCATTGTTTGTAAACACTCAATAAACAAGAACACATCACTTAAATTGCGTGACCGTATTTTGATTAGATAGGTACGCGTATCAAATCTGCATCGTTAAGTGGAATTAAAATTACACATTTTTTATCTGCAAAATTCCTTAGACTAATTGTCTGCTTGATAATTTTAACAATACGTACTTAATGCGTATACGTTTATACTTAGAACAAAAATGTAATAGATTACTCCAGCATGTATTGGCCATGAAGTCCAATTCATTAACTCAACGAAAAATGTAAAAGTTAATACCTAAATATCGTTAATGTACAATAATTGCCAGGTCACTACTATTTCATAATTGCGTAAATGTGTTGCAAATATTGGTATGCACTCGTTTGTTGGAGGGATGCAAGGTAAGCCGGATGGCTCGTCGGATTGTGGGTCGGCGAAATTTGCGCGGGACGCGTTTCACGTCGCCATGGTATATTCGCGCGGTGGCTCTCAGAAAGCTCTGCTTTCTCATCTGAGTTTAACTCCATTGTTAAGTTATTCTTAGAGAGAAAGGCTTATTGATTGTTAATCGTTCATCCATTATAATTAACTTCAATGTGTGCGAAACTCAAAATAAGGTATCCACATTGAACCCGGATGTGACGCTCGAGTGTATACTACCAAGAAAAAATTGGTCTGCGTGACGGTCATATTCAGTCGGTCATCGAGGAAGCGAGGTTTAATCGTCAATGAAGCCTTTCATCGCGAAACCAGTCCGAGTAGATAAGTACTTAGACAATGATATCCTTTGTGAAACGATTACCGGTGTGAAGCCGCTTGAAGCAACAATTCCGACAAAAAAAAACGTCGATTGTTTGCTGTTTGGTAGGGTTGAACGACACAAATAATGAAAAATAATCATGATCATTGAAACTTATTTTGTAGAGGAAAACAGAGTTATAATAACGGGCGATTGTGTTAAGTTTCTAAATATAGATAAGTGTACATTGTATGTTGGGAGCTATAGATGCCTTTTCTAAGAGAGCGACTAGCACGCGACAGTCTCGTTGGACGTCTATTAAACAATGTCAGGTGGAATCTGGAATGCGACCCGCCTACAAGGCCGCGTGCCATCTCGCGCATAGGTAGCCGATATTCAGCGGACGCTTTATCAACTTTTATCACATTCGTTTTGTTGGCTCTTTCTATACCAACGCTATTTTTGGTAAATTGCTATCACATTGTCGTTCCAAATTAATCGTTCATTACATTCCTATCATTTTTGGGCATTGTTTAATGATAAAAGAGCAAATCCTTCAATTATTATTGTTGTAGCACAAATAAAATATCTACCATTTCAATAACGTAATTATGTGTAGTTTCCCTATATGTAATTTTAGTTTGACTAATGTAAGTATGTACACATTTGGGTTTGCATGTATGATGTACATACTAATTCATAAAAGAAACTACCAAAACCACTTTTTTGAAACATGATTTTGGACCGAATTATGACATCACTCCTATTAATAAATAGTAAATTATTGTGGTTCTTAATATTTACCGAAGCTGTCTGAATCGCTGGCAGGGTATGCAGGGCACGGTTGTACCATCGTTGCAGCACGCGATAGTACATCTAGTGCTGACTCCACCTTCTCCATATTTACCTGATACAACAAACAAAGCGGTTAATATACATTCATATTCTCAAAAACATACAAATAAACAGAAGAAATAATATTTCTAATCAATCACCATACACTCAGTCGTATCAGTAACTGTGATCATCAATTATGTTTGCTACATTTTACATCAAAATTAAACGTTATCATAACAAATGACAGTCCAATATCACCCAAAAGATATTTCGGTTCGGAATCGTGTAGTCGACATCATTCATTTAGTCTAAATATTTGAAGGAATTCATGTCTGGCAGCGCGAAGCTGTTTGGTTTGGAATTAAATATCGCAGACTAAAAGTCATAAAGGCATGCGAATACCAAAGCGGCGGAAATTCCTCACGGCACGTAAACGGCTAGACGGTGGACAGACGTGCGCCGAGTCGTACGAACACCACGTAAATAAGAGGGAGGAATCAGATGATCAAACAAAGAGTTGTGAAACGTGGCAATCGGCCGCATACCGCGACCGCGCCGGGAACGAAGCCAATGGACCACTGTATCGCAGATCAGACACTAACACCACGCCAAAATATTAGCATTTCATCTTTAATTAACTTGCAACTGTTGGATTTCTTTAAACTGGAATGAGTAAGACGAGATATGAGATGAAGATTTCTTGGATACAAGGGAATACTTTGCCCACATCCTTGTTTAAAACTTTCGAATGATTAATGGGGTCCAGGCTAATGAACTATCTACTTAAATACGAATGCAAATACAATCGGTTTTTGGATTCACCATTCAACCAAAGAAAACAATATACTAAAGATAACATTGACAATGTGGTTAGTAACTTTACATTATAGTTAATGGTACATTATTTTTATAGAAACTTTAATACCTATATATGTAGTTGAACCTCTGTTGTTAATTATAACAATTTTATTTCATTACTCCATCATGAGTAACTTGGAATTTTTTGCCTTTTAGCATCGATTATAACTTTGTATATAAAGAATTTATTGGACCATTATAAGTAGTACACGTTTTATTCTATTTTTGTTAAGAAGTGCGCCATATTTTTCAGATTAATGAGGTATTCGCGACCGCTCGCGACTTCAATATTTCTTAATTAGCTTAATGATCGATGAGTCGCAGACATTTTGGACCAGATTCCAAAAATTTTAATTATGAGCTAACTAAACTATGTTCATTGCGTATTATTGGACAACGCAGACCAAAATATATAGTTAATAATAAACAAGATTCGCATAGTTAAATCTGCATACCATGCAAAATATTTCTGTGACGCTCATGCCAAACAAAACAAATAGATAACAATGTCGTTGCTTAATTAACTGAATACCTGACAGTCAGTAGCTGTATTGTAAGATCCATTAAACGGACTATAATTAATGATACTAAAGATACAATAAAGTGAACGAAACGAAGATGCACATTCCCGGTGCGGCGAATACATAAAATATTTCAAACAAATGCCACTAACGAATCTAAATGGAGGTTAGGTTTCTAGAATGTGAAAATAATGACATTACATTTAGAAGTAACGTAGCATGGTGCTGCTCTCAAATAAGGTAGAGAGATGGAGAAGAGAAGGGTAAACAAAACATTGGTATGACGAGTGATGCGATGACTACGTTAATGATGAGGAATTTGGTACATTAACCACAATAGAATTTTTCTGGCCGGAGGCGGAGTCACGAGTACGGTCAGTGTTGGTATGTCGGTATACACACGTCGAATAGATCATTCGACACATAGTCAGATGGTCACGAACTCATTCAACGGAACATGGAACTTGTAATGGAATTTGACACGTAAATTCCACTAAAAAGTTAACTATTTGGACATCATTATTTTTAAAGTGAAATGCTAGCCTCCAGCTTGAATTCTTCAAGCATTACCACATTACATGAATCACAACCTGATAATTGGACAATAACAATTTATTTTGAAATGTTTGAAGAGTAACGTCACAGTCTTATATAGTGAATAATGATGTCCAATACTTTAGGGAACCGGACTAAACAAACTGATAATTAAAATTATTTATAATAAAATATGATAAGAAGACAATTGAACGTTGAAACAAAACCCAATTTATTAACAAATTGGGTTAATTGAAATAATGTATGAAAGTAATGAATTAATGATCGAAGCCAATTAGGCTATGTTATAAAGTTTTGTTGGGTACTACGGTTTTTCGAATAGGTATAACAAATTCTAATTACAATGTGACCAGACAGAATACAGCCGATATAGAAATAAAAATGGATAAATGTTAGTTTACATTTACAACAGCTGCAGCTGTACAACATCTGCGGAGAATTATTATCTAGAATATATAATATAACCTTTGATAGTGAAAAAAAAACAAACAAATACCACTGGGCAGAAAACCATAAAGTTACAGGCGATATTAATACTTATTATGGCTAAGAAAACGAGATGTATTTGTATTGTGATGTTTATGAACCATTGTAACTGTAACCTAGTAGCCTTATATTAAATTGTAGTAAAACAAGCGTGACAAATGGAACAAGAATTAACTTTTCATAATACATGCCTAGTCTACATACATATGTACAGACAATTGATACATAGCATGTTACTATAGATCATAAATGTAGCTACAAAATGGACAACAGATAATGTTAGAAGACAATGTTAATTACAACATACAACCTAAATTGTTATCACCTGCTAGTCTTCAAACGTAAACCACATGGTGGTCGAACCTTGACATTCCGAATGTTAAAAATAATAATCTATTTCAGTTTAACGTAAATCTTTTGAAAGTATACCTTAAGTCTAGGGGTTAGGGTTATGTATGGACGGTTTTAAGTATTCTTTTGTCGGTTGGCCCGCATTTGGGGTGAGGCGTATTCTTTTACGACGGTCGCTACCCCTGCTGCGCGACGCACGTGGCTGGGGCCGGAATACGGGCAGATGTTACTATTGTGGGGTGCCCGATACCCCCTCGTTTACTGTCGATGCTACCAAAAAGTAACGCGGCTGCTTTGAGTTTGGAATCATTACGCGTAAAAATACCGTTAGCAATGTTAACTAGGTATTCAATTACTTTAACTATGTTCATCTATCTTAACTCGTCGAGTACCGGTTTTATAGACACAATTAAAGAACAATAGGTCGCGGTCACCGGTGACCGCTTGGTGTTTGACAGTTTAAATAAGTATTTTCTGTTGTACCATTAGGATAACAAAATGAGAAATAAGTAACTGTATTTATGAATGATAGCTTTGTTGTTAACCGAACAGTTAGTTTGCTGTTATTACTGGATACATTTCTGATAATTTTGTAAATATCCCTCATGTAAAATCATGCCACACATACGTGATGTGTTAATCTGGGAAATCGATGTGATAAACATCTAACAGTACCTTCACAAGTATATAGTCACATTTAGTCGTAACGATTACTCACACTATGATAAATTCCCGAGTAATTTGAAAAGTCTACCGTCAAGTCTGCGTGGTTCCAATACAATTGACGGAATCCATACGGGGTCACCGTCAACATTGGCTAATCGGGCGACGTTTATCGTGCTCTTATCACAGAGTACGGCCGCTACATGCGCTTGTGTGGGAATAGAGCGTTTGTACGCCGCGTACGGTCGCATTCCACACTATTATGTTCGCGAGATTCCATGCCATGTAGCTTCGCTGAATACCTTGTTGCCTTCGCTCCGTATAGCGGCGAAATTTTTTGCATGGCGCGCTCGCAAATCAAACCGGTAGGTACCAAGTCATTACATTACTTATAGCATAGCAGCGTTAAGTAGCCACTCTGGGATGAAGCACTCATGATGGATGATAACCGATGGAAGCATATCATTGCCGTTTACTCGCTAGCATTTGTAATAATTCTAGTCTTCTGTTTTTTACGTTTTATTCGTTTACGGAGCAGGCAGTTATCGGGTTAAATTAGTTAATTTAAGTAGATTGTAAAACTTTGTTTTGCGGATCACTGCGTACTTGTAAACAGATAAATATTTATCTAACATAAACAAGTTAACATATGGTTTAACACTCACTGAAGCTACTGTATTGTAGTAGATAAACACCATCACTATTTTTCCAACTTTAAAAATGTAACACAACAATAAATAACAAACAAACAGTGTGGGTACTTACACAATGTATGTTTTCCCACGATGTTCTTCAATGAGACCAAGGGAAATGTTGTTTCACACAATATTTATAATTTTAATCAATGACCACGACGTTAAGTTACAAGTTTGTAAAGTTTATAGCGTTCTATGTAACTGAAACCTTCATGACAATGTTACAAAACCGGCGAAGAACAAAAATCAATAGGTAAGTATTGGAATCGCAACAACTCTGTATACATTCGTTAGATTAACACGACACGCTGGTTACTTCTACGACGCAAAAAATATACTGACTTCTATCGTTTATTATCCATTGTCCGTCAAACGCACTGTGTAGAAGTATTTGTTGTTATTTCATAAAATCCAACTATCGCGCCACGACTCTGTTGACGAAATAGTCGCGTTTGACATTTGAGCCGAGCCCACTGCGATTGGAATCCAAGGAATGTCAAATATTTTCACTGCTGCCATCTATGTGAAAGAATGTTAAAGTGCTCAGAGGCGGCGCACTGGAGTGGCACACACCGTGTTTCCTACAGCCGTATTAAATAACTTTTAACTTTAAAGATGATAAAAAAGTTAAGTAACTGTGGTATTTTATCATATTGTATGAATAAGTTTTTGTTATATACTTTTTAGACTGGTTGAGAGAATAAGAAAGTGTCGCGACGCGTTCGCGAATTCATTGGAATGCGTCCAGGTTATTGCCGCCGCTGAGAGACGTCACCGGCGCAGGCGTGATGTTGGTAAGCCGCGTCTGCTGCAGGGTTATCGACACATGGCGTGGAGGCGAGGAGTAGGGTCGCCACTCGGCAGCGACTTGCCGCCATGCCGGCCTGCGCATGTAGCATAACACGCTGTTTCGGTTCGATACTTTCGTTGGAATT